CAAATAGAACTCCACTTCAACCAAAAGCTTCACTTCACAAACTTCAACTTCACCCACTTCACTTCACCGCAACTGCGATACAGCGAGGCTGTAATTCTTTCTTACTCACTCGTTTGTCTCAGTTTTCGACCACGTCACTGGCACTTCAACGCCCTACTGCACTGCACATAATAATAATAGTAAAATAATAATAATAATAATAAATAACAATAAATATATAATAAATAAAATATAATGCTATAATGATAATAAAAACATTATAATCATGAACAACAATAATAATAACTAATAATAATAATATTTAATTACAAAGAAGACATAGGTAATTACACTCAATTTTATTAAATATATTTATAACATCTACATTCAAGAAACTACACATTAGGACACAGACATGCTCAAAGTTGACATCTGTTGCGGATGTGGCTGGATATCCTGTTTTTTGCTCGTCATTCACGGTTGTCTGACCACGTTCGAGCCGACCAATTCACTGAGAAACACATCGCTGTGGTAAAACTTCTGCACCCGTATTGTGAAGAATATGTTCTATGTATTTCAGTCCGTGGTACGTATTCAAAAGACATAAACCGATTACTGTTGCTCTTATTTCATGAAAACCGCGATTGGGGTATCTTTGTTGACTTTGAAAAGGCTCAAAGCGAATTGAACAGATGATACAGAAAGTTACCACAAACAAAGCGAATAGCGCCATGGCTGACGAGCTGACGAGCGCAAAACTCCGTACAACCGAACTTCACACGATTAGATCAAGAGTGCTGATACATAGTAGCGTAAACTCATATTTCTTCCGCCCAATTCGTATTTTTATTAACTGATTAGTGTTTTCGCACGCGTCAATTGCTAAGGTATCTAGTTCCGTAAGTATAGTGGATGTTTACCCCCGCTGGGTGACGAGATACGGCATCTCCCATCAGAGGGGCGTCGACCCCGCCGGAACAAGCGCGAAGCTCCCCACTGGCCCGGCGATGGGTGGTGGTGTAGTGCACGGTGTAGTGCACGTGGGTGGTGGGTGGTGGTGTAGTGCACGTAAGTGAAAGAGTATGTAAGTAAGGAATGGGGAGAGGACAAGGCAAGGGGGAGGAAGATCCCGCGCGGTTAGTGACCCTTCGTTAGGGTAATGCTCCGATATTTACCTGTTATCGATAAGAGAAACCACGGTAAACTGAAACCACGGATGAGAGCTGCCGGCCTTTAGAATTGTCCTCCAGATCCGCCTGAATTCGACCTATCAATCTAGCTAGTGTCCAATATCCTGTCACCGCCGTGACGCCAACCACAGGACCTCCTTGCCAGAGGATTGCAGTGACAATTTCTGCCCTGTGCCCGTCGCCCACTCTGGACTGCGTATTGTGTTTGCAATAGAGGTATCAGGCATATACCCAGAGCCCATAGTGCACGTTTCCACCGCCACGCGCAGCACGCGTTTCCTCTTCCGGTGCTGCTTGCGGCGGCGCGTCCACGGAAGACAGCAGGCAAGACACGCGACGGCAATGCCCCTGGCGTACGGGCTTACCTCGGATGCGACACCCGGATTTATTCAAAGGATACCGCGTGACTAGGGCAAGCACTACGGTTGAAACAACAACTACAATAATTAGTAGGCAAGCACAACAATTCAAATACTGTTGGGTTCATTTTCAAGCAGAGAATCACGAGTGAAAAAAGAATACACTGACAACCTCAAGTATCCTGCGTTCTCATTCACAAATGAGCAACTTGCTCATAAGCATCTTTTCTCAGTCACATGCCAGTGTAGGACAATTTGGAATCTCTTGGACTAGTGTTAAGAGGGAGGGTGACCTTTGGTGCAGACGCTAGAAGCAATTTTTTAGCGTTCAGGCAATCAGAGGACAGCTTGTAACAACGCGCCGAATTCAATCATAGGAAATCACATTTAAAATTATATGTAAAACGTGTTTAGCTCGACGTGTTTCGCTCACTTTCAGTATTATCAATACACTATTTAAGGTTCTTTGACTAATATTTTTGGTGGGAATGCTCTGCATCTTAGCGTTCCCTGACGATACGCTACTGGTATGATACTAATATCAATTTGTATTTTAATTCAAACCGTGAAATGTCTGATTCACAATCGAACGTGTCACGGTGGAATTTGGCGTCTCTCGTGGGCTCGTAAAATGGCATATTCGTTATACTCTTGTCATTTTGTCATGCCTTACGATGATTCAATTCTTTTTGAAAGTCATCCGTAGAGGGTTCGAGTTCCGGCGGTGGCGAAGTTTTGACTTAAGCTATATAACTACGCCGAATTCGGCCGTTGTCTGCAGACGAGTTCTTGCAACGGACAGCTCCTATCGGTAGTTTTCCGATTGGAAATGTTTTCTTCGATCAATACCAGGTAAATATCAAAGCTGTACCCTAAGAAAAAGGGCCAAGAACCGTGCGTGATATTTTCTTCATTCTTCTCCCATTCCCTTCGCCTCACACACACAGACACAAACGTGTACTATTCTACGATACATGTCGGGAGATCTGATGGGAGTTAAGAACACGTTTCGACGGGAGCAGATACCTGGCGGGGAGAAAACCCCGCAAGCCGACTTTTAGGTCGGCGCCAGAGCTCTAGCGGGGAAGGGACAGAGCCACTTCCCGAGATCAAACATTCTCTGCACTTACAGGACTATTGGCCATCGCAATAGACGTACCTGGAATCATCATTCACTAAACCGATCAACTACACAAAAAAAATCGTGTACAATCGAAATATTTATGAAAGATTATTTCAAAATTTTGCCACTTGCAAATCATTGCATTTTATTTTCATCAACTACCAATGTTAACCCGTCAGGCAAGCTTGTCAATTAACGTCTATTCGCCGTCTTACTCTCATCATTTTCTTTAGAATAGCGATTTTACTTTTAGCAGAAATTAACAAAAAAAGTATTCCTAATTACAGTGAACGTGGCGTGGTGTTTTGCTGATCACTAACCTCAATTTGTACAAGGCAAAGAAATATTACCACCACCATGGTGGAATCGGAGCTAACAAATCTCTTGAAACTAAAATGTCCATTATTGTTGAGACAAGCATTTAACAAACCGCCGGCGACTCTAAATTCAACCGGCTTAGGTGATGTCTGTTTCATCTGATGACCCTACAGTACCTTGTTCGGGAGGTCCTAAGGTTCATGTATCGACGGTGACACGAATTTGGAGACTAGCTAGAGAGGTACAACAGCTCGGCCGAATTCAGCCGCTGCCTGAAGAAGAAATCTAAAGGCCGGGTGGTAGCTTTCCGTAGTTTCTCTGATCAACACTAGGCGAATGCCAGAGCAGTACCCTAATCAACGGGCCACGGACCTCGTGCGATCTTTTCTTCCTCTTCCTTGACCTCTTTCTTACAGATACACTTACATGCACACGTACATGCACTGCACTTCCACACATGTAGAGACCAGTCGGGAGCTCAGAACTTGTCCTGGATAGGTGGGTGACAGGCAGATGGGAGATACCTATTTGGGGAAACCCCAAAGCCGCCGGGTAGGTCAGCTACCAGAAACCAGCAGAATAAGACCACGGCCACCTCTCGTGGCAAAATATGCACGATACGTAAGGAACTAACCATAATAAGACTTATCATAAAGTTATTCTAAATCATTTTTACAATTTTTCAAATCTGCAATGACGCAACATCATTAATAGTCGCCATAAGTACTCGTAAACATTCTTCAGTGATACCTATAAATGTCCCTTCCAACTTTCTACCTAGGTTCTAGGAACTTCTTTACATTCTAACCGCTATAAGCAGACCATCATTTTTTGTCAAAAAGGTTTTCTTTTAAAATGCAGACTCCCTCTAAAGGATCAGAACGAAACCTATAAAAAACAAAAATGTAACCTCTGTCGATAGTGCGTCGATCTTATTAAAATATAAGTGCAATTTAGCACACACATTTGTGATCGCAAGTACGATACATATAAATGCCACCAGGAACAGCGCGCAGTTTTTGTGCGTGTGAAGAGCATGCGTGAAAGTTCACGTGACAGTCCTGTATTTTCGCTTTAACGGTCGTTTCTCATGCATCTCCCACGGTGCCACTCCAAATAATTGTGTTCGTTGGGGGCGTGTATTCTACGCAGCGACTAGTGAATCTTCGAGCCAGTGAGAGAATTCGGGGGAGTTTTTGTTTCCCATGGTCTTCCTCATAACTGTAAATGCCTCCTTTCAACGGAAACAAAATTACTTTTAGTCTGAATGAAGCAAACGGAGCGCGTTAAGAGTAATGCAAAGACTGATTTTGTGGGGTAACTGATTCGTAATCAAACGTAATCAAAAAGGTTATATCCATTATATGGATATTTAATGTATGTAAATGAACCTACATTTTCATGGTTATTTATAACATAATATTATCTATTATTTATTATTTCTCTGAATTTTAGAGAAAAAAAACTCTTGCTGAACACGAAATGAAACCTGACTATTGATAAAAGAATATATATAAAGAAGCGTACCCGTACGATACCTCTGGTATGTTAATACCCACCCATTCCCTATCTATTGCCCTATCCTTTTTCACGTTAAGAACGAAAGTTGTTAATAAACAACGTGTTTATTTGTTAAAAAATGTATAAATGAAACTTTGTACTAAAACTACAATAAAAACCGTGCAATTGATGTTGGAAACAAATTTCCTATAAAGATTTATTCAGTATTATAGAGATATGTTCTTCGAACAATTCACTCTTCCTTAAATACATTTGAAATTCATTGGCAGTTGGCTTTTCACTTTCATTGATAGTTGCAAAGATATTACAAAAGATTTTTACTTTTGAGAAAGCCAAGTAAAGTTTTCCATGCAAAAAAAACAGGATTGGGAAAGTACACCCCTACTCTTTACAAGCGGGTACGGGTGAATCCGAGTGTGGGTGCGCATGCGAGTATGGTTGCGCATGTGAGCGCGGGTGCGCTACCAAATCTACGTGCGCATCTGAGAGCACGTGCACCTGATAACTCACCGAAGCGGCCCGCCTCCCACGCCGTCAGCCCCAGAGGCCACCACACTGCGTCAGAGATGCTCCTCCCCACGGTCCAGAGCATCATCACGAAGGCCAGCGGCAGGTGCGCGGAGGCCAGCGCCAGGCGCCCGCACAGCAGCCGCGTCAGCCCCGCGCCCGCCGCGAAGCGCCCCCACTGCACACGACAGCACACTCAGTGTGAAGGGGAGGCGGACGATTAGAAAACAAAGAAAGGAAAAGTAATATGGGTGGGTGGAGATTTGCGAAAGGTGCCCGCACAGATTTTGTCTACACAACTTTATTAAGAAAGTAATTTACTACATTAATAGGAATGGATTTATTCACTTATCAGGGCCTGCAGTGAGAGATTTTGCAATTTTTTGGCGCATGATTACTATACGTTTTCTTCTTACAAAGTAAGAGCGAGAGTGAAAAAATAAAATCAGTTGAGAAAGTTGAAGAAAAACATTTGAGGTGAATGAAACAAATTATGGAAATCGCTAGTTTCACCCCGTTTAAGTCTGGAATTCGAAAGGCAAAAAATTACTTAGTGTGCCATCATTGGCAAAGAAAATAAGGTTTGTAGGTTCAAGTCGGCCATTTGCGCAAATTAATATGATCTTAATTCGAAAATCTTGAGCCAGTATCAATCGTAGCTCCCTCGAGCTCAATAGTACTACAAAAAGAGCGTTTTCGAAACCTTTCTATCGGAAGAGCATTGAAGATGGTTGCCTTATATCAAAGATTTTCAATGGAAATGAAGCTTAAGTGGAATATTTGAGGTAAAATTCGTTAACGGGCATATGAAGAGCTCTGATCGCTTCTAGATAACATTGTTGTAATGTTTGCTTTATATCACATTGTCAGTATAAGGGAAGGAGCCTCAAAAATTCTTCACTAAAATACAGATAGATTTTTTCGTAGGAATTTTTATTGTATGGATAATATTGTTCCACCCATCATGCCACTACACCCTCCTAAGTCTTGCATCGTCGTTTTCTTTCTGTTTTATTGTCGGACGTCGAACAGCCAAGTATTAGCCACTAGGGTTGATGATGATGAAGAGTCACATAATTGTTTCTTTCTGGGAGACACTTAGAAGGTGTAACGGTGAGAAATGACTAGTAATAAAAAAAAAGGTTTTCGAAATACGTACCCCTAGAATCGCCGTAAGGATGCAAATGTCCCCTATTGCTCCGAGAATAGCAATGACAGCGATGACCTTCACCATTGTGTCCATTTCTGAAAAGTGATATTGAATTTCAAGAATTAGAAACATAAGTATGGAACTGTTTTATACCAATAAATACAAAGGAAAATCGTGCATGATTCAAATTTAACATGCCAGAATGAAAAAAATTACAATTCAAGACTTTTTTTAAAATCCTGATTCAGAGCATTTAACAGATAACTTTTATAATTGCATTAAGTACATGTTCACCGTTTTTTAAGTTTTTAAAAATTATATTAATTTATATAGTAACCTTTAACTGCATATTTAAATAAATTACCAAAACACAGAGACTAAAATATTTCAGTTCTTTCTAGTCATCAAATATTGCTGTTTTCAACCAATCTGCGCTTATTTCTGCCTGATATTATATTGAAAAGATTAGCGAAACTTCTTTAGATACGATTCGAGATGAATTAATTCATAACTTTCGAACATAAGCCGTACATGACTGATAGAAAGCTATTCAGTAAATAAACGTAAAATACCGCAGACCTTGGATGCTTGTAAATACTCACGTGGGCTCCACCAGGTTCTTAGATTCAGACTACCTTCCGTTAAGAGAAAAGCCTGCAAAGAAACAAAGAAAAATAAAGTAGGTTTTCGGAAAGAGCACGAGTTATTATACACAATTTTATAATGCATATTTGAGACGATTATTGTAGTCTTAACTACTTCGGCACGAGTACTGATGACTAGTAATAAGTATTGGTATCATATTAAATATGAATTGATGAAAACCAGAACGGTATAATTCACATTTTATAAAATCTGAGACAATGTGTTTATTTTAGGCTATATTTTAGTGCAAATGTATTTTCGTGGTTTTAATGAACAATCAAAATGCCGAGGTTTTAATGATGAAACGAACCACCACGCCTTTACAGTAATACTGACTTAAATAAACAGATTTTTCAAAATTTACAAAATGTCACTTATACCGTTCTGAATTTTACCCCTTTATATATGGAAGTAAATCGGTAAAATTGATAGATGAATAAAAAACGGCCAAGTTGCAATGTTCTGTCAGATAAATCTGACGACACTAGATATCTAGAGTGAAAAAAACAACATACTGATAGGCTGCGCTTTGCCGAAGTCAACCAACAAATCATTCAAATTAATTTTTAAATACTACTCCATGTTTATATATGCCAGATTAATGTTTACATAATTTTATACAGCCCATTTCACACCAGGCTAACAAATACTTTCCAATCACAAAAAAACATTAATTTCGATTAAGAGAATAAGAAAGGCGGATGAGTTTGACAAAGTCCCTTGTCAAAACCTAGCCTCCTTACTTCCCAGAACCAAAACAATCAACAACAACAAAAAGAACACGAAATAATGAATTATTCTTTTGACAATGACGGATGTACATTCATTAATGTGATTTTCATCTATCAAGTAAGAAGTAACATATTTTTACTTTTTGTTCGCGCCGTTGGCTTGTTCCGAGAGCGCGGCGCAGCTTCTGTGCAAATGCCCAGGCATCGCGAGGCGTCGCGTGGCGTCGCGTGGCGTCGCGAGGCGCGGCCTTGGCCACGGCCGTGTGTGGAGGCGTGACGGGGCATCGGAGGAATGACGTCATGGCCAGACCAGCACTGGTCACGTTTCCTTAGGCGATGCATTTCATTGTAAGGCTCTTTAAAGTCTCTTCCACGAGAAACTCGACGGCGGCATGCACGGCCGTGCACCCATCAGTACGTTTCTCTATTGTTTTAAGTGCTGTTTTCGATTTCTTGTGGCTTTGTTTGTAGTATGTAATAGTAGTAGTTGTTGCAATTTTCTCCTTGGGTTATTCTCAAAAGAATTCATTTGAGAAATAAATCCAAATTAAAATATAATATGTTTGGATTTAAAAATATTTGAATGGTTTTAATGATGTGTTTTCGTAAAACAAGGTTCGGATTTTCTATTCGTAACACTTTCCTTCGATTTAGACGTAAATGAAGATAATTATAACCACAATTTAAAATAAATGTTTTACCAAAACTCACAATGACTATTGGAATAAATTTCCGGGGAATCGCAAGGGTCTTAATTCTAGCAACGCAAATTGTGTTGAACATGGAAAAAGAATGTGTGTGTGTGTGCGTGTGCGTGTGCGCGTGCGCGTGCGTGCGTATTACCCCGTAAATAGGGACAAAATAACATCCTTACGACCTTGGTATTACATTAGCGGTGGCTTCCCCTCGTTAGTTCACAGAGGCGTAAAAGAATTGGTGCCGATATCAAGAAATTTTCTTTTATCAGAATGATTTAAAAAGTGCGGAATTTTTGCTTGGGTCCATCGACTTGTATAAAATAGATACAACAAATTAAGAACGGTAAGGAGTAATTGGTCGGAAAAAAAAGTAAAACTACCGATCAGAGCAGTCGGCCGCGATTATTCTCCTTCGTTTAGTTATCTGGATAGTGTCGAATATCAGTCACCGTCCGATGCTGCTGAGAAAATGGTGTTCCCACTAAGCTATCGCATCCGATATCTTGAAACCTCTTTCATAAGTAGCGGCAACACCTTGTCACAGATACGATGTTGTTGCAGACAATAGGAAATTGCGGAACAAAATTGCTGCATGTTATAGTGCGATTTTTATATAGGTGCCCTCAAGGCCCGTCTTCACGGAGGATTATGTCACGGTATTTCCCGCCTTTCTCAGTGTCTCCGCTAGATGTCGCATAATCGCGACCGTATCAAACAGTGCTTACGATTATGTGACTTATAGCGGAACGACCAAAAAAGACGCGAAATACCGTGATATATTCCATCGTTAAGACAGGCTTTTGGCAACAGCTATATAAAAATCGCACTGTAGTGTGTACACAATGGGCTAAGGAAACTACAATTGCTTGTGCAAACGTATTTTCAGCTGCATAACTGGTTTCTTACAATTAGAGACAAGTTTTGTTTTGCGCATCTCCAGGCCGATGGGCAGCCATTGTGCCCCAAGTTACGATTTAATACGATTAACTAATCTACTATATCATTCCTCTTGTTATCTCAGGGCGCCTCTGAATGTCGTTGTGTCTGCAATAAAAATGCCATTTATCCCAATTTTCATTCTTCCATTGTGATAATGATAGAGCATTTTCTTGTATTGCTTCTGGACAATAAATGCAGCCATTCTATACTTACTAAACATCGCATACTTTTTTCGTTTTTCATTTAACCAATTAATTTAAAAAATCTGAATTACAGCAAATTTTTTAAACTAGATACGTGATACAATCAACTTCAATGAAAAAAAGAACGACAGGTACGGCTCCAGAAATGAGATTTAAATTGTTTATGTTCAATCCCATCTTTCAATTTGAATCCCAGTCCGTGATTGCGAAATCGTGACGGCATACTTTTGTCCCAAATAACGGCGTGAAAGGCTCGGCCAGCAACTGTTGGACGCAGCTTGGCCATCAAAGACTTCACTGTTAGCGGTGCCCCAAGGGAACCACGAGACCGCCCAACGCATTCGACGCGCGATTCCATTGGCGGGACCCCGCCCCCAATAACAGAACACGATTTCAGATACAAACGGATGTACAAGGCACCACTACATGAACCGCGCGCGTGTGTGCGTGGAGGTGGGTGTACCTGGGTGTCGGTGTGCGTGAGTGTGGGAGTACGTGTGCATTCGAGAGACAGAATAAGTTAGTGAGGGAGTAAAGGAAGGTGTGTGTGATCCGGCAATGAGTCCCAATTTAAAATAAATGTTACGCTTCATCACTACTATAATTAATATACGTGCACCAGACGATGTTTAACTTGTAAATACGTGTAAAATAAATAAGTTAAAATAAATGCCATGCTAAATCCAAACACAACTCATATTAAACTAACAAAGAATATATAAACTTCCTACAATAGTGTGGGTAGTAAAAAGTTATTCAAAAATAAACTTCCCCCCCCCGACACTCTACGTAAGGTTGAAAAATGGTACTAATTAGTTATCTATTTACACATAAAACACGGCGAAGCCTCTCTCAAATTCATCTTGTTTCGGTCTAGATTATTAGTAACAGAGAACACTAATCGTCATTTCACGCGGTAACAACAGCCATGCAAGTGACGAAATGAGCACGGGGTGCACGATAACTGAAGAAAGAAGAAATTCAAATGGAGTGTAAGTGTGTGAGTGGGTGTAAGGCTTACCCCGAGGAGCGCGGCGGCGTAGACGAGCGCGAGGCGCACGGAGCCGCTAAGGCAGTATGTGAATGGATGAAGAAGGAGTGTGTATGTGAAAGTGTAAGTGTGGGAGTGGGTGTAAGGCTTACCCCGAGGAGCGCGGCGGCGTAGACGAACGCCAGGCGCACGGAGCCGGAGAGGCGGTGTGTGAGTGGATGAAGTATGAGTGTGTAAGTGTAAGTGTGAGTGGGTGTAAGGCTTACCCCGAGGAGGGCGGCGGCGTAGACGAGCGCCAGGCGCACGGAGCCGCAGAGGCGGCGCGCGGGGCGGCGGGCGCGCAGGGCGAGGGCCCCCAGCCACAGCAGCGCGCGCGCGCACGGGTCCTCGGCCGACGCCATCGCCTGCGCTGGCGCAGCTCGCCTGTTATCCGCGGGGCTGCCACGCTCGCTACCCGCGCGTCACTGCCGCCGCGCCGTGGTAGTCGCGAAACGCCCCGCGCCCGCACCTCGCCTCGTCGAGGCCCCAATGCTGCCGCCGTGTTGCCACACAGCAGAGCTGCCAACCTCGATTCGCGAAGCCGGCTGCAGAAGAGTTCCCATAAGTTTGCGGTCGCGCTGACGTGGGAGAAACAAGCGTGAAGGGTAATGGAGGGACGAGTGATTGGAAGGGGAAAAGAGAAGCGAAAGAAAGGGGGAAAGAGTAGGGAATTAAGGAAAAACCGGAATGCAACAGCGAAGGAAAGGATAATGCGAGTGCAAAAGGAAAGAGAAAGAAAGAGGAAAGGAAAAGAGAAATGGGTCGAGAAGCGAAACAACGAAGTGAAAATCGCTGTCGACGAAAGGAGAAGGGGTAGGGCAAAAGGGAGAGCGAAAGATAAACGGAGTGAGAGAGAGAAAATGCGAGAAGTGGATAAGTTATTTGTCACGGAATATGCACATGATAGCGAATCAGAAAAATGAGAGGGATGTAGGAAGAATAGTTTAGATAGAATAAAAAGAAAAAAATGGGGAAAGCAAAGTAAGGAAGGGGAAGAGCGGAAAAGGTGGGAGAAAGAAATGAGGAAAAAATAGAGGGAATTTGAGTGAATACAGGAAGGCAGAGAAGATGTTTTCGATGATGCAAATACCTACTCTCTAAGTGGATATCGTTTATTGTGCTTTCAGCTCAGTCAGTCAGCCGCCTCTTTTTTGATATCGGAGTTTTTCTTCACTCTGTGTGCACTTTCAATTGTTCAAAAGAATTAAAAATGAAACGATTTAATTTACGTTCTTAATGTGTGAGTTGGAACCTTATAAGAAAATAGTGGTACATATAATACCGGGACTCTATAGGAAATACCTTTGATTTCAACGACTCTTTCCTGTGCATTTTTAATAACAGTATCAGAATACCTTAATTGGAAACTAACCACGCAATTCTAGTAACGAGTGAAGAACCTTTGAGTACTAGCCACGCTGAGAAAATCTATATATTTTTGCGTGTACTGCCTTCGATTGACGGGTGCAATATTATTAAATGTTCGCTTAGCGAAAGAAATGCTTTAATGTTTGTTTTGCTGACTGTGTACTTACTTTGTTTTGTGGTCACCCGAGGCTGGTTCGTTACGTCATTGGTGATATGGCGACCACTTCTCCTTCAGTAGCTTGCGATTACACCTCTTGCGACGTATGCATTGAAACCTTGAAAATGTATTCCAATGGCTGTTAACGTTTACAAAGGTACAAGACGTTCTTGACTCTTGATTTTACGACACGTATTACTATTTCTATTACAGTTTTCGCATTTTAACTTTAAAGTGTTAAAATATGCATTAGCATTACATGAGGGGGGACATGAATAATAAAGAAATTAATATGAAAATGCTTATAGTATGACCTTTTTTTGGTATAATTGTAACCATTGTTTTTTAGAATTCAGTAGTTGGACGTACAATGAAGTTTTGGTTTCAATATTTTATGTGGCTCTTCAATTGTGGTACATTTCTCACATTACAACTAGGTGTATTTTTAGACCAAGAGATAGCATCAGGGAAAGTTTAAAACCGTTTGGAAGTACACGGAAGTAACTTGAGCCCAACATTAGTCATTAAGATTCTTTGGAAGTACTCCCTTTCTGTTCTTGCTTTACATGAAAGCGAACACACATCGCCTTATCGCGTGACCTCAATTGAACAACAGCAGCTTTGCGAGACTGCCTGATGACACGAGCAAGCAGCTCCGTCTGCCTTCATCTTCAAACACTCTCTTGTGAAGTTCCTCATGAAGGTTATTAGGTGTTGTCGAGCATTGAATTTGAAGATTTGGATAAGTTATGTACTGAACGTTATTGCATAGATATTACGTGTGCTAATTGTGTAAACAAAAGTTAAAGAAACAGTTGAGAATTGGAGGAGACGGCTTGCAATATTCATGAAAAATTGAAAAATTTCATCAATTCTCGTTAACATTTAATATTTGCATACATACGTTTAGTGACAAAGTATTAAACTTATAGTATTTCACATAATATAAAACAAAAAAGTTATAAAATCTTTGTTCAGTACTCTGAGTATATACCGTTTGTTGTGTGGGTTTCTAAGGAGAGTGAACTAAAATATATCATTTGGGAATTAAAAGTGTCTTCTCTTCATATTTTTGCATTGAGTACATGTGTTGTTATATCGTAGAATTAAGAGGGTGAAAATGAACAATAATGGGTGAAACCAATATTTATTTATTTATTTATTTATTGCTGTGTATGGAATGTTCTGACACGCGTATTTCCTCATGAGAAACGCATTTCTGTGTCTTACATAACACAGCTTGGAACACGTAATAGACATCTTCGGGAGACCTGTTGTGACATCTGAGTCTTTCAACACTTCTACAACTACTTCGTATTCTTCTCTAATGCTACACGTTCATGGGAAGTCGGAGGGGAGAATGGCATTGATCTACGGATGCAGCTCCAAAACGCTTGCAATTTCCTCGTGGAAAAAATCTTGTTAAAGGCGTCTGCATATTTCGGCGTATTCTACGAAATGCAGTTCACTGTATTGCTTCAAAACAGTAAGATAACAAACTTACAAATACAAATAAATTACAAGTATAAAGCTCTAAAAATTAAAAATTAAAATGAAATTTCGTCAAAACGCAAAATGCGCGTGAAGTGTCAATTGAGGTGAGTGGGTGTGGAGTGAGATTAGGTGTGGTAGTATAATGAAAATAGAAATTTATAGTTGACACATAGTCAAAACTAAATTGTCTGAAACGTCTCCCCTAGCAGTCTGATAACTGTTTTTTCATTTATCTGCTTCGTATGAAAATGTATGAAAAATGTGCTCTTCTGAAGGTCCCAGAGAGGATAATTATATGTTGAGATGAAGATAAATAATGGCATAAGTAGGGAAACATACAGCTAAAATACTGAAAAAAATGTTAAAATAAATTTATTTCACAATGTAGTTACATAGGTTCTCGTGCATTTTAAGAAAATATGCTCTTTTAACAACATTTTGGTCTTGTGCTATCTTATAACTTTGCGGTTCTTTTTAACACCAACATCAACTGTGGTTTAAATTATAAGATAATTGCATAATATTTCTGAACACATTTAAAATATACTTCAGAAAAATGAGCTGTAATGTTGTAATAAAGTTTTATTTCTTTACAATTGACGTTACTTATATACTTGGAATAAAGAATCTTGTCTTAATCATTTTGTATAAGAAAGAACGTAATTAGTAAAGGAAGTGTAAAATACTATTGTTTGTATTCTGGAATGTCATTTTATGTATAAAAACAGTGTTTTTTAAAACATTTTTATTCTATCTGAATTTTGTATTCGCATATGAATTCACAAATTCTTTGGATTTGGACCAGTCTCAGTCTCTTCGATAGGTATACAGTTGAAAAAAATATAACACTTATATCTTTTTCAACTTATGCTCCTCATTGATTTTACTTCTTTAACAGATATTTAACTGCGTATAAAGTTTGTTAGGTTTAGGATTTTTCATATAAAAATGTGTATTTTGAAATAATAATATTATTTGTTTTACTTGGTTACAATACGTATATTTGCTTTAAGAACATTTACATTAACCGCAATTAAATTATGTTGATTGAAACTCTTTTTTTTAAATTTCGAATGAAAGTTCCTTAAAGCTTATGAAGCAATTCTGTTACATCTCTGGATCAGTTCATATTTTGTGACTAACCAAGGTAAACTTGGCAATAATGGTGTCAGGCAACATATTTGAAACGATTCATTTAAGGCCACACAGTTTCTAGTCCAAGAAATAATAAATAATATTTAGCCAAAAACTATTTACTTGCTGAAAATTTGATGTGCGTGTATTAGTTAAATTATCTAAAATATTTACTTATAAATATATGTATTCCTATTTTTTGGTAATGCTGTTTATGTAGATCTATGCCAGGTGGGTGGGCCTCAAAGGCATAGTTTCCTTTACAAAACATGTTGGTAGTGGAGATATTGACGTGTATGGTAATCCTTTAGCATTTCATGTCACGTTTCGTGTGCTGGCGGCGTTTTACCTAGTGTTTTCCTTTGAGGACGTCACATCAATGAACGATCTGCAGTGGCTGAGTGTGTGCTGCTACAAATAAATTCCTAGGATAGCTCATACTATTGGTTTCATAATTCATATGTAACCTTGGCAATTATTCGACTACTTTAGCGATTCCAGAACACTAGAGTCGTAATTTTGAAGAAATTTCATTAAAGGAACGGCTTCTAACCATTTATAATGAACGTGACGGAACCAGTTATACAATGAACAATATCGTACGCAGATATTACCATAACATAATGTTCGATTTCGCGCTTGCGTTCATGACCGAAACGTAGTGCTTAGGGTTTACGCTTCTTACTGTCATGCACCGTAAAAAGTGCCTTTTGTCTGCTTCCAAAAATCCACAGTCTTACATAAAGCCCAACAAGTTGGACTACAAAGGTCAGCACGCTAACCCCTCGGCCGCCCACGCCGGTGAGCGCTTGGTGGCGTCGAAGTAGGTCAAGGAGGCAGCAGCAAACGCCCCACAAATTTGGCAGAGCCCGGGCGGGCGCCCCGACGCTAGGATGGGCGTGGCACCGCCTGCGGCTCCTCGGCGGAGGGCGCGCGCGACGGCGCGGGCGGCGGCGGGGGTGGGGGCTCGGCGAGGCCAATTGCGCTGGCCGTGAGCCACACAGCAGAAGCTGCAACCTCGATTCGCGAAGCCGGCTAGCAGAGAGACGTTCCCATAAAAAAAAAAATGTTTGCAGTCGCCCGGCTGACAGGTCGGGAGAAAACAAGCGCTTAATGAAGGTAAAATGGAGGGCGAGTGATTGGAAGGGGGAAAAAGAGAAGCGAAAGAAAGGGGAAAGAGTAGGGAATTGAAGGAAACAACCGGAATGCAACAGCGAAGAAAAATGGAAAGGATAATGCGAGTGCAAAAGGAAAGAGAAAGAAAAGAGAAAGGAAAAGAGAAAGGGTCGAAGAAGCGAAACAAACGAAGTGAAATCGGGCTTGTCGACGAAAGTGGAGAAGGGTAGGCAAAAGAGGTAGGAGCGAAAGATTTAAACGGAGTGAGAGAGAGAAAGGCGC